TGCAGCCAATCAAGAAACTGCCAATGACCATGCCCAAACATCCCGATAAATGAAAGGATGCTGATGGGCACTAATGTCACTCGAGTCTTGGGCGTGAGTCTTGCGATGCCCATGTCCACGGGTCCTTCCAGCCTTCGTCGGAAAAGTCTTCTTCCTTCATGCCTCAGTCACAATTCAAGGTCGTGGATGGGGTCAAGAGCCATTCACTCTTCCTGTTGTTGATCACCAGGTGTCCCTTCATCGAGCTGGAAATGAAACAACACCCTTCTACCGCGCGACTAGACTCGTGTGCTTTTCAAATTCATACAAGTCTGGTCATGCAAACCAACGCTGATGCCAAAGCCCTTCACTCATGAGACGGAACACGGGCTAACTCCACCTTTTTGTCGTGATCATCTTTCAGATCATGGAAGGGAGCAAGAACGTCCTGGACCGCAGCTGCAGAGGCGCATACTAGCTTCTGGAGTTCTTGGGAGTCAGGCTTCTGCGACGTAACTTTAGAATTACATCCCGTGGAAGCCAAAAGGGTTCAGCACTCGCCAGCCACATTGCGAGGCTTGGCTGCTGAAAATGTGATGTCTGTGCAATTGGCTTGGAGGCCCTAGAGTGATGAAGGATGAGGCGCCTGTGGCCTGTAAGAGGTTTCGGGACCAACAGCCCGTCCTCCAGGTCGCTGGACAGCTTGATGAGGCCACCTGCGTCCTCGAAGCAACTATTCTAGCCCCAAAGCACAAGGCCCAAGCCCAAACTAAACATCCGAAGTAATCCCGAGACCTGAGTGTGAGGGCCCAGACTTTTGCAGAAGGTTGACGGACATAGGGGCAAGCGGTACTGGAAGTAGGAATGCTAAAATTAGTGGGTTTGCTCTCAAGGGATACTCTCCGGGGGCCTTTTTTGAATGCTGTCGGGTGCTCAGGTACGCCCTGCATCCTATCATGAACATACCTTACGAGAAATCCAACCCAACACCCTTTGTAACCTTGGAAGTAATTTAAACTCAGCATGGCTTCATATTATGGGCCCCAATCCAGTCTGGATCCGAAGCTATGATGTCTGGAAGCTGTACCCTTGACAGATTCGCTCAGACCAGTGACGATGCCGGCGGCGCTGCGCGGCCGAGCAAATTCAGCAATGGCCCGCTCAGCATCCTCTCAAAGGATGAAAGTGGCCGGGAGGGCTGAAGGTTTGCCTTCTCTGGGGAGAAAAGAGGAGAGCAGCCGGTCCTAGCGTGATGGCCGGGCCTGTGGGACCGATCCCCGCTGGCCCGCTCGCTAGGACCGGGTTCGCTCCTAGACCTGGACTCCCATGTCCTTGCCCTGGTAAAACATGTACAACACACGTCTTCGTTACAGCCTCTGACAATGGAACCCTTCGGAAAGAGGAACTCAAACATCACCTCCAGTCTCTTGCCGGCATACCCACTTCAGCCCCTCGATGCCCAGCTCCCCCAGGTCCTGCGTGTGGTTGGCAAAATCGATGACCTCCAAAAAAAAGGCTGAGCAGCGTGAGCGCTGAAAATCGGGAACAGCATAGCCATCTGGGTCATGTTCCAGAAAAATTGGGAAGATTTCACAGGCCTCCTGGTCATCGTGTTTTGGAGGACAGGGTGTCTGTGGCAGAGGTCTCGTAGCCCATAATGCGACTTGGCATTGTTAGGCAGCAATGCCAGCCAGGCCTAAAACCTAGTGAGATGCTGACGAGGACTACAGAGACTTGGCGCTTTAAGGCTGCAAGAATTTCTTAGGTCCCGAACTGGCCAAGTCTCACGGCAAGAATCCTTAAACCTCACCCTGAGCAAGAATGAAACTCTCGGCTTCTTCACCGCTCCGTAGGTTCTGTACCCATGCCATGACCACACTTTGGAGAAGTAGCTTTGTGACTGCGGGCCGGTCTCTGGCCTTCGGGAAGGTCTTTCCACCTGCGTGCACAGGGCTCAGTAGTTCATGGGCGATAACAAATTGGATCTGTGCTCATTTCTTAACTGGAACTGAGCTGAGCCTGAGGCCTGGCAACCCCTGCACCTCTCTCGCCCACGCACTGGATATGTAGTTTTCAGGGCAGCCCTGAATCTCCAACCCAATGAGCGCAAGCCTGGCAATTTACCCAAAGTCTGCACCTCGTCGCCGGTTTGCACGGCTGTAAATCTGAACCAACTTCTCATCGGAGCCAATCCTTAGACCCCACTGACTATATAACTCAAACTGGAGGACGCGCTAGTAGTTAAGCTTTAGAACCATCATGAAACTTGTTTTCACTAATGAAATACAGACTTGGAAAGTGGAGGGATTCGCACAGGTCTAGGCCTTAGTATGCGCACTAAACGGGCGATTTTGTTTGCAGCTTGCTTAGCCCAGGCTTCAGACTGTCAATGTTTGCAATTTCAACGTCTGACATTATGCCATTTTCGAAATGTTCTAATACAACATTGGCTGAGGTCGCTCGACTTTGCCCAGTACAAATCACGATGACAGAATGGGTCTCAAGCCGCGCGCTGGCTGCCAACTATTACAACATAGTGCCATTGAACGATGTAGGTGTAACACGATTAATATTAGCAAAAAAGAAAGCGATTTACAATTTCTCCTGCTTTCTGCATGAAACATGGGAGCAATAGCGTGGACAAGCAAGGGAACGAAGCATCTGCGATCCAAAAAGCTGAATCAACTGAAGAGTTTAGCAGCATAGCCTGATGCAATGAGCGGCCGACGGTCTACGCCGAGCAAGGTCACGGCGGAGTTGTCATACCCGGTTTCCTTGCAGGCGAACTAGTTTCGGTTCCAGCACAGTTTGAATAGCTACACACTCAGCAGTAAAGTTGCAACCCTACAGCAGGAGCCCCACCTTCTCGTCCCAAATGCACAACCTAGCCCTTCCTGATCCCTTGCGCACGAAGCCCTGGTGGCAACAGTAGCTGTGCTGCTGGCGGTAGACGCGGATGAGGATGAAGACGATGGTTGGTTATTCAATGCATACCCTCAATTTGTGGGGGGGGGGAGTTGGACCTCCATATGAATGCAAAACGCGGTCCCACCTAAGCGTCAGCCATCTGGGAAAGCGATTTCAAACCTTTCTCTCGCCTCTGGGCGTTCTGCAGGCGCTCTTAGGGGATTTATTGGATGTTCTGCCACTGCTTGTTGCGATTCCAGGAAATGTCGTGGCTCCGTGGTCTCAAGCAACCATCAGGAATCTGGAATGGGTAAGCAGAGAGTGAGAGAGCCCTACTCGCTCTTCTGATGCCGTGAGCGCTAGCAGATGCTCTCCCATACTGAGCCGTTGCCAAGAAACCTGACAAGCCTGGAAGCTCTGGATGTCAGTCACAATGGCTAGACTCCCTCAGCCTGTTTGGTTGCAGGGTCTGCCACGTGTGATTCCAAAGCTTCCAGACCCTGAGAAGCGTCTTGCCAAGAGTCAAAACGGTCACAGACAACCAGAACGTCTGCCTTCTTGTGCGCCTCCTGGGCACAAGTTTCACCATGTGCTTGGCTGACTAGCACTGGATGATGAGTCGCCTCAAAAGGCTGAACTGCGTTCAGGATCACCGAATGCTTGGGCGGCTACTCCCAAAGTCCCAAAGCCCGACACCCAACTGCTCCTTGGGGTAGTCGGCTTTCAAGACCTTATTGTACTCGTCTTCGTCCACTTGACCTGACCACTATGTGGATGAACTTGCTGCTGAAGGTCTAGGACCGTCTAGGAAGGTGAGAGTTTGGACGTTGCCGCAGGTTCCAAGGCCTCAGTTAGAAGCTGCCCATCGAATGTAAGTCTGAGCTTGGTTGAGCTTGTCATGCTTCCCCAGCGGCTCAGCACACTTCAGGTTGCTTGTGTTGTTCGGTTAATTCTGAGTTCTGCACATCTAGCTTCCAGAATTTGGAGGTCGAAGTGTCTGGCACTAATGAGACTACGTACGCCGCAAGGGCATCACAAGACAAGTCTCCATTCTGGTTCCGCATAATCGTAGGAGATTGAGCAGACCTTCTCTCCTCAAAAACCTATTCAAACTTGCAAGGCCTGTTTGTGCAACCAATCCGCAGTGGCTGTGGTTACAGCCTGGAACTTGCCACATCATTAACTCCTTGCATACTAGTTGTGGCAATTCAACTGACCATGGTCTCATTCCAGTAGACCTGCGCAGAACGTCGAAGAGGCCAGCTTGCATATGATCCATGTCGAACCCCAATGAAGATGTAAGCGCACGTAACTCTGAGCCTCTGCTCCAAATCCTACGTGTCTCACTCAACTTCTTTATTCAGCTCATGCCCTTGCGGGTCCCCGGCCACCAGCATGGCTAAGCTTGCCCGAGAAGGCCGCATAGACGGAAATCTGTCAAAAGCAAAACGAATACTGCACTCAAAGCAAAAATCCTCCATTCTGCCGCTGCGCCTCCAAGAATGCCATACGAGTCCCACACACAAATCATCTCTTGTTGTCTTAGCTCCTTCTTGGATGCCTTTGGATCAGACTCGTTCGCCGCGAGCTCCTTGAACAGCTCCGCGTAGTTCTTTACCTCATCATCGAAGGCAGCAAATACAAGATTACGCTGGAATCGAGGATGAAACAAGATCCGGAACAGCACCAGTTGGTAGAAACTGACCCAGTCCATAACACAGATTGGTATCCAGTGATAAGTGGTCCATGCCTGCAACTCAAACAAAGAGGCTACAAAACCACATTGTTGTGACATCGCTTTCCATGCTTCCTCTGACGTTTTGCAGCTTCTCAGTGCTTCAAGATGCTGGCCGGCTGGAACAACAAGTTATGCTGAGCAGGCATCCGAACTTTTATCATTTCACAGCTTCTGTCTCATTGCCACCTTCCACTGCTGG